GGATATGGAAGACGAGCTAGGAGAATGCTAGGTTAAAGCAATGAAGTGATGTATCCCTAAAAGCAGACCCTAATTTCCTGTAAGACTCAATATCCAAGTGCTTTAAAAGCCCATCTATATTGTGCTTTAGATTTGAAGATGGAATTTAGCCTAGAAGCAAATAGTATAAGCAAAGCTGGGCAGGACCTGCAGGCTTGAGAGGCAATGAGGTTGCACTTTCCTGACCAGAAGTAGTGGGCAGGTGCATATTAGGGAGGTGGTATGGCCAGTTCTTCAAACTCAGCACTGTGTTTTGGGCCACATAATTCTTTGTTGTGAGGGAGGTGTCCTGTGCATGGTACTATGTTTAGCAGCATCCCTGGCCTCTACCCATTAGATGCGAATAGCACCCCTCTCTAGTTGTGACAATCTAAAATATCTCTAGACATTGCCAAATGTCCCCTGGGAAGAAAAATCACCACGGTTGAGAATGGAAGGAGCCATGGAGGCACTGCAGGGATTTCCAAGGGATAGTGCTTATCCAGTGACTTATGTGAGACCTTTGCAATCCCTGGCCTTTGGGAGGCCTTTGTTTTGGTTCTTCTGGCGGTCTCTTGCAGTAGGTTTTTTTGGTTTTGATTGGGGCAGTAATTCAGTATGCCAAGCTCCTTTGCTATCTGTAATTACACCAGCGTTTTACTGAATGAACACTGTGTGCCAGACACTGCTGAAGCAGCTGACATGTGAATTTTGTTTTTTCCACTTAATCAGCCCTGTGAGATGGATACTATTTACTCTCACCTCAGTGGAGTGGTGAACTTGCCTTGCGTCACACAAGGAATGGCAGCCAGGCTCCAGCCCCTAGATGTTGGTTCCTATCCTGTTGTCAGTATCTGGAGGTGCAGGGGCCTGAGCAGAAAGGGAAGGAGCTCAATACAAGGAAACTCTTCCCAGAGGCCACATATAACAGTGGTTCTCTTAAAGACTATAGGTTCTTTGACCTGCACTTAAAAACCAATTCAGTAAAACTTCTCAATGCTTAATTTTTAATAAAAACATCCCACTTTGCCTTTCTCTCAAAGGAGTCTAGATGTATTTCATTGCCAAAATAAGAGGATTTGGGGGTTTCTGTGGTTTTCAGATATGTATCCAGGCTCTTTCAGATTTATGCACTGCCCCTCCCCATCCTGTTTGGCATAACCAGGAACTTTACTGATCTCAGCCTCCTGCCAAAGGCCTCCCTGCGGAAATCTGGCAGGTTTTCACTACAGTCCTGTCTCACCAAACTCATTATAATACTGGATCAAATGGCTGGAACCTATTGTCATCAAGCTGAACCAGGCTCCTGTAAAATTAAAACATAAAAATCTCACCGGGAAAGATTTCATTACCATTCCCAGCTTTCCTTTTACTTGACTCCAACCAAACATTCTAACATTCTAAGAAGTTCAAAAAAATAAAGGTCCCCTGAACTCCACTAACAGCACACAGGAGACTGAGCAAAGTTCTGGTGAACGTGGAGGGGAGAGCCCATCCCAGGTGCCCTTACAGGCAAGCTGTACTGTGCACCCTGGCTGCATTCCTCCGCCAGGCCTTGCCCTCACAGCTCTCATGAGTTGTCAGGACAGCACTTTGCCCTGATGACTGTGCACTCCTGTGGCTTCCCTTGGGGCTGATCTCAACACAGCTAGCCCGTGCTTCTGCCCACCTGACAGCATCCTCTGCAGATATGCAGCTTCCCTTTTCCCTTCCGCTGCTGGCAAATGTTGCAGCTGTGGCAGGAAACTAGGGAGAGTGTTAACACAGCTGATAAAGGTGCAGGAAACTAGAGCAGCCTTTCTGTTTAACAAAGGAAATAAAGTTTTTAAGAGAGAAAAACAAGCCTGCTGTGTGGGATGCACTCTGAACCGGGCCCATCCCATTCTCAAATGAACACTTGGCCTGTAGGAAGGAATCTTGTCCTCACTAACCACGTTGTCTTTGCCTGCGTTTAGATATTTTCTTTTGAAGTCTATTCTAGGACTCATAAACAAGCATTCCCAAATGTTACCAGACTACCCATACACATGTTAAATCATAGTCCATCAGCCAGCAGAAGCTGATACGACCTGGTAGCAGGACTGGGAACCCTAATCTGGGTGTGGTTTTATTTTTTTCATTTAAGCTTTCTCCACAGGCTCTTGGGTGTGCCCCTAGTCTTATCTCTAAAAGTCAGATAATACCAGTCTTGGCCTTTTTGTGAATTACATAATTAAAAAGTGGAGCCAGAAAATTTTTCTCTCGGCTTTAATCAGAAGTTAACAGATCCACCAGTGCAATAGCATTTCCTGGAGAGTTACTGTTAAGAGTGGACATTCTGAAACTATTGCCATGTTCTTATTTTGTGTAAAATGCTACACCCTTGTATGTTCTTTTGAAAATAACTTGCATGATTTTTTTGGGCTTCATTGCTTTGTTAGTGTTAAAGGATGTCCTCAGGAGGATCTCGAAGCAGCCTAGCGAGCTGGAGAGCCATGCAGATCACCTGTATGACACTCTCTTAGCCTCTGTGGACATGCTGGCTGGTTGCACCCTCATTCCTGATGACACACCAATGGCACACAGGAGTGCTGGTGTGACGGATTAGCCAGGTAAGTAGAATAGCCCAAGAGAACATCTTTCCTTGGACCCCAGTACAGACCTCCTGCTTTGACATTTCCCTGTATCTTAGAAGCTTGAGCCAAGAGCTGTTAAATAAGATGGCCTGGCCCATGTGGCTCAGTGGTAGAGCAGTGACCCATGAATTAAGGTCACTGGTTCAATTACTGGTCAGGGCACAAACCCGGGTTGCGGGCTTGGTCCCCAGTAGAGGGTGTGCAGAAGGCAGCCGATTGATGTTGTTTCTCTCTCATTGATGTTTCTATCCCTTTCTCTTCCTCTCTAAAATCAATATTTTTAAAAATTACTTAAAAACACACACATTTCCCTGACCAGTATGGCTCAGCTGGTTGGAACATCATCCCATACACCAAAAGGTGGTGGGTTCAACTCCCAGTCAGGGCACATACCAAGGCTGTGGGTTCAATCCCTGGTTGGGGCGTTTGCGGGAGGCAATGGATCGATGTATCTATCTCACATCCATGTTTCTTTCTCCCAAAAAATCAATGTAAACATGTCCTTGAGTGAGGCTAAAGAATACTTTTTTTTTTTAAAGATGCTAGGAGAGAAGCAGCTGCCATTGCCAGGAAGAAGCTGGGGGGGG